TCAAATCTCGGCCGGGTAGAATGGTGCGGTCTAACCATTTAAAGTCTTGATCATCATCGCAGTATACCCTAACCGGGTCGAAACGATGTAAAATAACAATAAAAAAAATTAAAAAAAGAAAATTTTTACTTTTGCATTCGTCGAGTACAAAAAATCGTAATCTTTATTGACATTTCTGTTATCATGTGTTATCACATATTTATCATTACTAATTGGTGGCTTGAGACCTGTTCCCCTCGACAGAGTGAATTAAATACAATAATTGTAACAAAATGCGTGAGAAACACTGGGAGAAAAAAGAAATTTTCAACTTTTTTTAAAAGTCAATCTTCTAATTTTTGATAAAGTGACTCAATTTTGAGCTGCTTTCCACCAACGATATACTTCATTTATCTTTCACTCGACGTTTACAAGAAGGTCGTGTCCTCGGAGAAAAAACCAGCGAGTCTGATGTACTCTCGCTTGAGGCAGGCGTACAGCCGCTGGGGTTGGGGGGTGGAGGAGGGCGAAGGTCTCGGCGTTACAATTCGCAGTATGAATTCTTTGCACGAGGGCTCAGGGAACGTCTTCTGATTGCCATCAGCTTGATGCTTAGTGGTTGAGGACATTGAGGTGATCATGTGGCCAGCCTAGGTGAAAAAAAATCGTTGCATTATTTGGAAACGACTGAGAAACCTGAATTTTGCATTTTTCAGACCTTTTGGGCATCTCTGAACATGTCAGTTATTCGGGACCCCACGTATCCCCTGGCTCCACCAGGCACAGACACCTCTTTTTCTCTCATCAGTTGAGTTATGAAGGAACTCATCTCCTTCGAATGATCATCTCCACAGAGTTTATGCTGGAGGGAATTTATCTGGGCGATGAGGGCTTCGACACTCTCGATGTCCCTTGCAATTTCCTGAGTTAACATAAAATTCCAAAAATGAATAAATTAATTGATGAATTTATTCATTCATGCATTTATTATTTTATTAATTATTCATCAATATGGGGCTTAAACAAAATGATTTGATCAATTTTTACCATTTGGAGATCATAAATTTCTTCACTTCGAATCAGAAAATGAGCGCGGAAACAATTTTAAAAAATTTCTTTCGAGTAATCCACAAAGTCAATTATTTATTTAATGGAGAAATTAATTTGGGAATTCTATTCATTAAATTTTCACACACCTCATATAATTGCATCTTCTGTTGAATTGGTTTCGTGGCGTATTGGAGTTTATTGAGTATCCCCAGCGTAACATCAGGCAAATTCGGTAGTGAATCAGTTTTCTGCTGATTGAGAGTGAAGAGCGCGGCGTGAGTGAGCGTGGGGAGGAGCAACTGGGCTATTTCACCGAGACGCTTCGATGCTAAATAGTGGATTGCCTTCTCAGCCTCGCGAGTATCATCGAAGAGACGTTTTTGCCGGTGGGCTGGAACTGGTTGTGCCGAGGCCCATGTCGTTGCCCACGGATTATTTTCGAGTTTCATTCGAGGGGATAAATACCCTGAAACCATCAATCATCAATTCATACGGTGTTCATGCATAAATCAACTGATTTCCAATGAAATCAATGAGTTCTCTTCATTTTTTTTCACTTCAATTTCATCTCGGTTTCAAACTTTGGAGATATTTCTTTCAAATTCAGTCGTCGAGTGAATTAATTAGCGAATTAATTAATTTACCTGCGGGCTGGCCCCACTCGTCAACCCCCTCCACCTCGACCCAGTCTCTCGGTGAATACCATCGAATAAAGTCTTCTAATTCTGATCCCGGATTAGCTGCCTGTTAAATGGAGCGATTAATCACTTCTTTGAGATGTTTATTCAATATGAAAGGAAAAATTATGCTCTTTCAAATCATCGTAAGATGAAATTTAACTGGTAATCAGTTATCTCGACTTTCTAATTCTCAACTTTCTGAAATTTAAGTCAGCTGCATTTAATTTTTTAATTGTTGTTGTTTTATGATTACTCGTTGGTAATCTGATTACTGAATTAGTAAAATAATTTCAGAATTTTTCATTATTTAGTTCGAGGAACAAATGAATATTTTTGGTAGATTTTTAGTTTTTTCAATATTTGTTTAGTGCTTCAGCATTAATAAAAATGTTTGTGTCTATTATGTTCATTTTTTCTATAAAAAACAATTGAAAAACTTGTTTAAAAACCAATTCAGTAGCAAAGGGTTAAATAAAGAGGGTTAAATTAAGTCGATTTTGACTATTAGTCAATTTTCAATGAATATCTCGAAATATTAATAAAAAAAGCGCCATTCATGTAAAAAAGGCAAAAAAATGTTTCTGGAAAAATCGAGAATATATTTTTAATATTTTGAGGATAATTTTTCCACCTATGTTACATGAATGGCGCAAATTTTTGTATTAACCAAAACGAAACTAGCTGTGGAGTCGAATTTCAAAAAAATAATTCGAAATTCTTGTTTTGAACATTTTTTTGAAATTTTTGAAAAAATCTCGGTAGCTCAATTCTGGAGGCCCTCGCTTATTGTTAACATTTCACTTATGATAATCATGTTGCTCACACAGACATCACAGACATCAAAGTATGACTATGTTGAACATGAATTTCAATTAATTTTTCAATGTTTAGGAGAGGGTGGGGCAAAACGGCCCCCCTTCAATTGTCAATAACTTGTGAATGACATTGTGAAAATTCCCAGTTTCAACTTGATTTTGAAGATAATTTTTCATTATTCAAAACGAGCTCTAACTCATCCCAATCGGATTATTGAATCAGAAAATATTGACGATTGAAGGGGGGCCGTTTTGCCCCATCCTCCCCTATAATTATTGAGGGCGTTCACTCAAAGATATAACTAACATGATCATCTTCTAGAGAAATATGTTATTGAAAACATGAATACACAAACACACAAGTGAATGGATATTCTGCAAAACTAATTTTTTTTCTCAGTGCAGTCTCGCCTCAACGTTGAAATTTTGCAATTTACTTTGTCCTTAGGGGATTTGTTTTTGTATCTCAGGACATCAATAACTATCTATCTATCTACCTATCCATCTACCTATCTATCTATCTGTTTATCTACCTAACAGCACGCGTTTTACCGCTTCGCTATGTCGAATGCAATAATCGAGAAAACTACCTTAAAGGACTCCATATCAGACAGGAGTGATGCGCTCATGAGCCGAGCGCGCATCTCCGACCCATGTTTATCGGTGCCAAGCTGCATCATAACTTGCGCATCCTCTTCAAGCTGATCCTCAGTTTTCGGCACCGGGTCCTGGGTCACCGGCAAATAAACGGGATCCCCTGTCTTCAGTAGGCGCAGGGTCGGGTGCTTGGCGAGTCTCCCCGTTGGGCGGTTCCACAGTAGTTGCCTACTCCTCTGGTTCCTCTTCACCTGCACCTCCTCGTGCTTGTCCGCCTCCTCCTCCGTGCACTCGAAGAACTCCTCCTCTGACTCTGCTTTAAAAAAAAATACATGAACACGTGGGAGAAGCGGTTTTTCGGGAATACGATGACGAGGTGAACAAAACCTCAGAGATTTTCTCACCAGATTCAAAGTCATCAACGTCCAGGCTCTGTTGTTTATAAGCCGACTCTTCTCTCGCTTTTTTACGTTCAATGCAACAATTCATCATCTGTAGCTTCTGGTGGAGTAAACAGGTACGCACTGAATCCGGAAACCCGGTTCCCACACTAGGAACGAAAAGAAAAAAAAAAAAAGACAAATGGGTGAGGAAAAAAAATCAAGAGTAACAAAGGTAGCAGTATTTCGTCAGTGCGTTGTACGTGTTGACGAAATCGGAGTCGTTAACGTCGGAACATGGAGACTAATTAACTCAAATTACAAGGGACTGTCGGATAATGTAAATAGCCTGAGAGAGGAAATCTGCATTCACTCGTAATAACGATCGACAAGTCACTGGGATCAATTACTCCGCGGGTTCCAATTCTCGTGCCTGGAATTGTTCGGATAATCGAAAGAAAAAATATTCTATTCACTTTTCTTATTGCACATTCTAGCGTTGTACGAAGTGTGCAACGCTGGAAGGGTACGGCTTTACCATTTATATTTAGCGTACAACAAACAAGACCGTAAAAAATAATAATAGGCAGTATAGCAGACATATCAGAGATTGGATGTAATGGGTTAAAAAATGGGGAAAATAAGTGGAGTAATTGTTGGTGCAGAGTGATCAAAAAAATCGGTCAAGAATCTCGGGAATGCCTTGAATTTCCCAATTTTTTCAATCCTCATGGGATGCAGAAGTGATCATAAACGAGCTTTCACTTGCATTCCGTGAATCCCATTAATTTCCACCTTCTCGCGGCGCCCTCTGAACTCCCATTCTATTTTCTCGAATTCACTGATGACGGATAATATTGTAATGAATGGGCGATGGATTAAGGAAAGGGGCGGATTTAGTTTATTTATTTTACTACGCGTGATGATTAATCTCTCCGTTCAGACTTTAGAATATTTTTATCAATTGAACACTGAGAGAAAAATAAACGTTGTCAAAGAAGTCTTTTTTGGGTCAACAAAATTGCTAGTTGAAAATTGCAAAAAAAAAATTGTCTGGTTCAAATTTGAAAGTCTCAAACATGAATAATTGTTCTGCTTTCGACAGCGGCGAAATATTTGGCTCAAGAGGCGGATAACAAAGATTTTTCGGGAGCAAAATACGTATGGGAGTATCGAATAACGAAGGAGTAGTGCTGGAAATGACATTTCTTGCGTGTACAGAGAATGCAATTTTTTTTCAACTACTAAATCCATTTTTGCGACAAAAATTTCTCGTTCCGGCGCACTCTCTGCATGTTTGGCACAAAAAAATCATTTTTTGATAATTTTCAAAAAACTATTTCCTTGGCAGTAGTAAGACTTGTTCGAGAACTTTGTCGTTTTTCTCCTAGTGTACACGTGATGATTAATCTCTCCGTTCGGACTTCAGAATGACATTTTTATCAATCGAATAAAGAAGCAAAACACTCGAAAAAATCAGGAAGAGGGAAGAGGATCAATAAAATAATCATTCGATTCCGTTACACTACTTCCCCTTTCCCGAAAGTTGCCGCCCCGGCAACTATCACAAAGAGCAATCAAAGATTCCAAAATTGCTTTCGAAATTTTCAGTTAGGAGGGGCTCAAGTCCCACCATTCAAATTAAAACCCTTCCGGAAAATAACAAGATTTTCGAAGAGATTAAACTTTAAATATTTTCAAAATCAAATCTCTCATTCTGGTCTCCCAACAATCATGAATTATAAGCTTCATTAATTCAGTAGCGAAGCGGTAAACCGAGTTAAGTCGATTTTTACTATTGGCTAGTTTTTGACGAATATCTCGGAATCTAAAAGAGATAGAAAGATTTTTGTCATTACCTTTTTTGTAGAGCCAATAGAGCATTATAAAAAAAGTCATGAGAAAAATTTTGGTATCTCTCTTAGATTCCGAGATATTCAGCAAAAACTGGCTAATAGTCAAAATGGACTTGACTCGGTTTACCGCTTCAATACTGAATTGACATTATACAGTCGTACTAGTCATGAAATTTACAGGTATACATGTGAGTTTTAGTCGTGAGCATGGGAAGGATTGTTGATTATGGTGAGGGGTATGGCGAGGGGAAGGGGGACAAAAGCAGAAACCGGCTGTGGAAGTGAGGTGTGGGCAACGCTGAGTATTTCCCCGAGTATACCTTATACCCATTGCCTACCCTATCCCACTTTACTAGTGACTCTGAAAACCACCGGTCCCGACGAGAACCGGCAAACACCACCACGAGACTCGATGTACGCTGGAGTGAGGCTCTACGGGTCTTGCCGTACTCACCTACAGCTACAACGTCTGTACAGTCGCGCCCAAGACACGGTGATGTCGATGCTAACGAGCGATAGCTAGCAGCGTCTTTTGGGAATACCGTTTGCTTGTTTTTACAATTCACCGCAGTGTGTCAGTAATAAAGAAAAAAAAATCAATTGTTTTTGATTATCCGAGTGAAGTGAAGAATTTCGCAATTGATTTTTGTTATTCTGAGATTATTGTGCGACTGATCTCTGTGGGATGAAGTTCGCGGTGGAACATGCGTGATTTTTAACGCGATTATCAACAAAATGAGTAAGTAATTACACTTAATTATCAATAGCTCGAGATTTTTTACGTTTTGGATTGAAAAAAAATTTTTTCCGGTTTAAAATGGGAGAGGATTTATTCAAATCGTTTTTCTCGAGATGTTGATGATTTGAAGAGGTCCATTTTGCCTCGTCTTTCCCTAAGACAACTTTATGGTGTTAACTCTTAGAAGATTTTTATCATTCAGTAATGAAGCAGTCAAGTCACGAACTCATCTCGTCCTTTAAATTATTCCATTCAGTCGCTTTAAGACGTCGGAGAAAATTCTTTTATTCCCCGAATTGCATCGGATTCTGTCGAAAACCGTGACAAAACTCCTCATCTCCAGTGAACTCGTTTAACCGGGCATCGCATCGGTAACATTCCTGGATAAGTGCACGCAGCACACTCCCCGTACGATTCGTTTTGTATCGCCTGCCTTGTATCTTGTATCGGCGCTTGCGGAGGGGTGAATGCACCTACGCGACGAGAGACTACCCATCGGAGGTGCATCCTTTTTACTCCACATTTTTTGACCTTGAGACCCCTACGGAGCGCACAACCCCGATGCACATGAGACGGCGCACAGAAATCTGTGACCCCAGGGATTTTATCAATTTCATTGCAAATGTGAGAGGTAACTGAAGTCATCTGTAACGCCATTCGATCGTTTTGCTTAGGATAATACGCAGAGACCATAGTGATCCGGTTTAGTGTTTGAGCATGAACGTTATGCTCGGCAAACCGTGTCGATAAAGTGGCTGAGATGGCTATATTTGATGCCAAATTTTTTTAATAAATAGGCTTTTTGTTGCGTTGTGCGGAGGAAAATTGATTTGGGGGGAAAAACATGAAAATTCAATGGAATTACGCAGTTTTTGGCAGCAATAAGACGAGACTTTACAAATTCGTTGAATTTTCCATCGAAACGTGAACATTTGGCAACAAATTACGCAGAATTTTCAATTAATTAAACATTTAAAAATATTTTTACCAAAATTTTCCTGATCATTAAACGTTAATTCACTGTTTTCATCGATTTTTCATCCGCAAAAATTTCAACAACGTGTTAAAAATTGATTAAACATTAAAAAATTAATTATAAAACACAATTTACATAAACCATTATAAAAAACAATTAATTAGTCATTAAAAAATTTATTTACCAAAATTTTTCTGATGATTGAACGTTAATTCACTGTTTTCATCGATTTTCCATCCAAAAAATTTCAACAACGTGTTAAAAATTGATTAAACATTAAAAAATTAATCATAAAACACAATTTACACAAAAACATTATAAAAAACAATTAATTACTCCATAAAAAATATTTTTACAAAAATTTTCCTGATCATTGAAATTGAATTCACTGTTTTCACTAATTTTTCATTTGAAAAATTTCAACAATGTGGTAGAAATGAGAGCTATAAAAAAATGTGCACCTTTTAACACATTTTTCTCACTAAAAATAAATCGAGAATTAGTTTTCCCACTGGTATTTCTTAATAACGAAATATCTCCTACAATATTTTTCCATCTCAAACCGAAGGAATTCACTAGCCTACATCATTCCAGTGAAGGAACACGAGCGGAGCTCTCATTTCCGGGCTGACTTCTTGACTTCCGTCGAAGGGTCCTTCGGTAATTACCCAACCAATGCGATTCAACATTCATTTCATCATTTGTGACCACTCGGAGGTCTAAAATCAATAGTTCATCGAGGAAAATCTCTGAAGTTCGCGCAGTCAAGTCCCTTTTGGCTTCAGTATTAATATTCATCCGTTTTATTCAAGTATGGCAATTAAAACGGGAGTACGACTCTTCCTTACTATTGTTGATCCTCTTTATTCTCTTTTTTTTTCAATTTTTTTCTTATTTCTCACCGCTCGCTTTCTATTGTGCAACCATTCCCAGCGATCCATAATAAAATAGTGCGTTACGTACTGAGTTTCAGTGCGCGTTTATTTTGAATGAATTTTGAGGGAGTCGCAGGACATGTTATAGTCGCGATTTCCTGTTTTTTATTGTTTCGAAAGAAGAAAGTTGGGTTTTTACTCCTTAGAAAATTCAGCCCCACACTGATAGAAAGGATTAATTATTGTTAATAAATGGATTTGGTTGAAGTCTAGGGTCTAATGAATCAGTCTATCAGTGCACCCAGAAAAATGATTTATTTGAAGTTTTATTCATATTTAAAAAAATCTTTTCTTATTATTAATAAATGTTTATTTGAGTCGAATAAATCCTCTACTAATATGAATAAATTGAAATGAATAAATTCTTTTTTTGATATAATTGAATTATTTTTATTGAAACAAGTGAACAAATTTATTCATTTGTAAAAACGCCTTTTTTTAAATGAAAAAAAAATTTCAAATAAAGATTTCTATTTGACTCAAATCATCCATTTTTATGGGTGCATGAACACTATAAATAAATATTCATAATAATTATCCATTTATTTATTTAAAATGAATATTTTTCACGTCAATATTTTTGCAACAGGCCATTGTCGAACAAATGTCTAAAGGAAAAAGGAATAATTGGGTGAGAATCAAGTAGGTTTTCGTGACTTTGAAA